GTTACAAATGTTTATATTTCAGAAAGTTGTGATTGTGTTGCATGAGATTTCTATTCATCCATTAAATTTTTAATCATAAGTATTTGGCGCAACTGTTTCAAACAAATCCGCAATTATTTTGAAGGTAATTGATGCAAAACCGACACGCAATCGTACTGCCACGGAATTGCTGGCTGATTTTCTTTCTGGTGCCATTCTCGGTGCAACGATTTCAACAGTTTTCTTCCCGATGAATGTCGTTAAAAATCACATGCAAAGCAAGGTAAGGCATATTTTTTTCAACCCGCTTTGCTCTGTTGTCTTACTTTTTGACACATTTAGGTGGGCGTGGCATATGAAAATCCCATCAAAGTCTTCTTTGAAGTATGGCATGAGCGGGAAAGATCACTACGAGGACTATACCTTGGGGTGAAGAAGCATGATTTTGCAGGTTTCTTTTGTTTTTATACATCTTTATGTTTCTCAGGTTCATCTGAACTTCACTCGATCACTGCTAGCATGGGGTATAATCAATACTGTCTACGAGCTCCTTCGTCGAACATTCAAACCTTTGGAGGACGGATAGGACGAAGTATAGTTGTGCTTCAAGTGACCGGACCAGTTTCATTGTTAGATATTTCGGATATACACTATTTTGAAGTCACTCATTTGTGCCCGTTCTTGTTTCCGAATATTGATGAAAAGGTTGGATGCTAAGCGGTGATTTCTTTACCTGTCTTTGTCTTTTGTTGAAACGCAGCTAGTGATAGGTGCGTTTACACTCATTGACCTCGCCTATCAGCAAACCTCTATACCTCATTTCTTTTACGTTTTTTTCTTGTTTTGTTCTGTGTGTGATGAGATCAATGCCTTCCAATAGGATTTTCGTCATTGAAATGTAATTGAGGGTGTGTCCATTGTTTTCGTTGTGTCAAGTTTATATTCTTTCCCGCTACATAATGTTGTACCATACATCACTAGTTGTTTTTTAGAATAGTTCTTTTTAGGTTTATATGAGCTGACATCAATTTTTGGATGACTTAAATCATCTATTTTATAACCAATTCCTTGATATGATGCTCTTCTTTATTGTGCGTTCTAGTCAGGAATGGTTTATGTGCAGATTTAGGAGACGATAGCGAATTTATAAATAGTTAAATTCACTAGGGTCTAGT